TTTTTTTATATGGCATGAGGTAGGGAACATGTAATTTTAATTCCTGCTCAGGCTCTTAATAATCATGTGCCCCTTGGTAAGTTCTTGAACCTCTCTAAGTTTCAGTTTCCTCATTTATAAAGTGGGAATAACAAATAGTACCTAAATCATAAGGTTATAGTGAAGACAGACAATGTACGTAAAGCACTTAGCGCAGTGCTTGAAGTACCCTAATTGCTTGGTAAATGTGGTATAGTTATTATTGTTTTAAAATGAACAATGAGAGAAAAAAACCAGAGATTCCAAGCTGGTGGTAGATTGAGTGGAAGCTACACTGATACTCTCCCAGGACCAAATTGAAATTACAACTAAAATATAGAAAAACCATCCTGAATAATCAACTGAAGATGAGCTGGAGCGCACTCTCATAGCCCAGGACCTAAAGCAGAGACCACACAGAGACTGGTAGGAAGTGTGGACCCACGAGAAGGCTGGCTGGGCTCCCACAGGCAGCAGCTGGAGGTCCAGAGGGATATCTCAGCTGTGGGGGTTCCCACTGAGAACCCTGGGGCTTAAACTCCAAGCTGGGCTCCCCAGCCTAGAGCACTGGAACTGAGAAAGGTGCCCACATAACATCTGGCTGTGAAAAGCAGCCGTGTTTCTCTCTGCCAGGGAGATACGGCTGGAAATGCAGGCACCCTCTTAAAGGGCCAACACACAAAGTTTCCTGTGCAGCCACTCACCTTGGGCTTTGGCAGAAGGAGGGCAGAGTAGACTGGAGCAGTGTGAGAAGAATCCGGGTTTCAGGCTCTGGAAAGAGAGTTCAGGGGTGGCCATCTGGAATCCTGTGCTGGGTGATTCCCCCATACTGCCGAGGACATCTTTCTCAGGCAAACCTTTGCCAGCCAGGCAGCTTTTGCCTGGGGGAGAAAGCAATTGCCCTGCCCACTGGAAAAACCTCTCACCCCACCCTGTGTTGTTTATGCCTTGCTGTAGTCTACAGCCTGAGGCTTATTAAGAAACTGAGATCAGACTTAGCTGGTTTGGCTCAATGGCTAGAGTGTAGTCCTGCGGACTGAAGGATCTTGGGTTTGATTCCGGCCAAGGCATGTACCTCGGTTGCAGGCTTGATCCTTGGCCCAGGTCTGGGCGAGTGCAGGAGGCAACCAATCGATGTGTCTCTTTTACATCAATGTTTGTCTCTCTCTCTAGCCCTCCACTCTCTCTGAAAAGGAATGCAAAAAATATCCTCAGGTGATAAAAAAAAAAAAAGACTCAGCTTGCAGAGAGACTGGTGCCCAGACTGGGGCCAGGGGTCAAGCCTGCAACCGAGGTACATGCCTTGGCCAGAATCAAACCCAGGACCCTTCAGTTTGCAGGTAGAGGTGGACCTCTGGGTACCTTGAGTCTTTCCCTGATCTGCTTCTGGACCCAGGGCTTAGGAAAAGCAGACTTTGGTGTGCGTCTTGGTCCTGTCCAAATGCATCCAGCTCCAGCAGAGGGAACAACAAGCTCCAAAGAGGGTACTCAAGGCCAATCACAAACAGTGTGTGACATTGGTTTGTCTGATACTGGCCTACACCAGAGACCCTCCAAAAGACTGAGAGTCCTAGCAGATCTACCTAATACATAGAAACAAACCCAAATAGGCAGCCAAAATGGGGAGACAAAAAAACAAGCCCCAAATGAAAGAACAAGAGAAGTCTCCAGAAAAATAACTAAGTAAAATGGAGATAAGCAATCTATCAGATAAAGAGTTCAGAATACTGATTATAAGGATGCTCAACAGCATGAGGAAAAGATATGCAAACTATGAAGGAAATTAAGAATGACATAGCAGAAATAAAGAATACATTGGAAGGAATAAACAGCGGATTAGAGGAAGCTGAGGATCGGATCAGTTAATTAGAAGACAGGGTAGAAAAAAAATCACTCAATCAGAGATCCAAAAAGAAAAAACAATTAAAAACAGGAGGATAGTTTAAGAGAGCTGTGGGACAACATGAAAAGTAACGATATTCACAACATAGGAGTGCAGGAGGGGAAAAGACTAAGCAAGGGATAGAAAATTTGTTTGAAGAAATAATGGCAGAAAACTTCCCTAACCTGGTTAAGAAAAAAGTCACACGAGTTCAGGAGGCACAGAGAGTCTCAAGCAAGAAGAACCCAAAGAGGCCAACACCCGGACACATCATAATTAAAATGACAAAAACTCAAGACAAAGAGAGAATCTTAAAGGGAGCAAGAGAAAAGCAATCTGTTACCTACAAAGGAGCGCCCATAAAGCTGTCAGCTGATTTCTCATCAGAAACTCTACAGGCCAGAAGGGAATGGCATGAAGTATTCAAGGTAATGCAAAACAAGGATCTGAAAACAAGACTACTCTATCCAGCACAGCTATCATTCAAAATAGATGGTGAAATAAAGAGCTTCCCAGACAAAAAAGGCTAAAGGAGTTTATCACCACTAAACCAGCATTGCAAGAAATGTTAAAGGGACTGCTGTAGTAAGTAGAGAGAGAAACATAGGCAGAAAGAATTAAAATGGCAATAGATAGGTATCTATCAATAATAACCTTAAATGTAAATGGATTAAATGCTCCAATCAAAAGGCACAGGGTAGCTGAGTGGATAAGAAAACATAACCCAAGTATATGCTCTCTATAAGAGACCCACCTCTGAACAAAAGAATCACACAGTATGAGAGTGAAGAGATGGAAAAAAATTTTTTATGCAAATAGCAGTGAAAAAAGAGCTAGGGCAGCAATACTGGATATCTAACAAAATAAACTTCAAAATGAAGACCATAAAGAGAGACAAGAAAGGTTATTACATTAATATTAAAAGGATCAATCCAACAAGAGGATATAACCCTGATAAACATATATGGACCCAATATAGGAGCACCTAAATTCATAAAAAATCTTCTGGAGGACTTTAAGGGAGAAATAGACAGCAATACAGTCATAGTAGGGGACTTTAACACCCCACTGACTTCACTGGATAGGTCTTCCAGACAAAAATCAACAAGGAAACAGTGACCCTAAATGACACACTATATCATGTGGATTTAATTGACATTTATAGAACATTCCACCCCAAAGCTGCACATTCTTCTCAAGTGCACATGGGACATTCTCAAAGATAGACCACATGTTAGGACACAAAACAAGTATCTACAAGTTCAAGGAGATTGAAATCATATCAAGCGTCTGCTTGGATCACAATGGCATGAAATGAGAAATCAACTACAATAAAAACACTAAAAAACATTCAAACACATGGAGGCTAAATAGCATGTTATTAAACAATTTCCTCCAAAAATTAAATATGGAACTGCCTTTTGACCCAGTGATCCCACTTCTAGGAATATATCCTAAGAATCCTGAAACACTAATCAGAAGGAACTTACGCACCCCTATGTTCATAGCAGCACAGTTTATAATAGCTAAGATCTGGAAACAGCCCAAGTGCCCATCGGTAGATGAGTGGATAAAAAAGCTGTGGGACATTTACACCACGGAATACTACGCAGCTGTAAAAAAGAAAGGATCTTTTATTCTTTGGGACAGCATGGAGGGACCTGGGAAATACTATGCTAAGCAAAATAAGCCAGTCAGAGAAAGACAAATATCACATGATCCCACTTACATGTGGAATCTAAAGAACATAAGAAACTGATGAACAAAATAGATTAAGTGACATAGAAGCATGGAACAGACTGAGGAATCTCAGAGGGAAGGTGGGTGGGTGGGGAGAGATTAACCAAAGAACTTGTATGCATAAATGGTGATGGAAGGAGACTTGACATGGGGTGGTGAGCACACAATACAGTATACAGGTGATGTATAATTGTACCCTTGAAACCTATATAATTTTATTAACCAATGTCACCCTAATAAATTAAATAAAAAATAAAATAAAATGAACAATGAGTAAATACTTTCATCATGGAGGCGCCAGGAAGACCGGCAGCGTTTCTAAGAAGGCAGTTGGGATCAGAGGAGGGAGAGGAAGCTTGCTTACGTCTCCTTGGAGGAGCAGGTCTGGGATTGTTACGGGAGTGTCAGCCACATAGGCGGCTGCCTCGCGATCGCCTCTGGGATTGGTAAAAATGGAATTCCCGGGCCCTATCCTCGAACTAATGCAAGCAGCCCGCTGGGCGTGGGGTCCCAGGTACGCGTTTGCGTGCACTTCTCCACCCGCGCAGTGCTTTGGCGGGGCGGTGGTGGGAGCGACGGTGGCCCCGCCTGCAGCGCCGCCTTCGGCCTGAGGGGGGCGGCCGAGGGGCCGGGGCGGCCACGGCGCCTGCGCAGAGCCGTCATCACGCCGGGGCTGCCCCAGCCGGATCCACCTGGCTCAGCTGACAGCTCCTAAGGCGGAAGAGGCGGTGCGCAGGTTGAGCAGGGCGTCTCCAGACCTGCGGGGCCAGAGGCTTTGAGGGGCCTCGGGGTAAGGGCGGAACCTTCGGGCCCGGCGCGGTGGGGCCGCCGGAAGGTACGGTGGGGACTGCGCTCCGTGCGCGCGACACGGAGAAGGGCAGCCGGGCCGGGGCCGCTCAGAGGGCTTCAGCCCCCCCCCAAATTGTCCGGCCCGGCTAAGGTCCCCGGGGCGCTCAGAGAGGGAAGGGTGCAGGCCCTGCTTCTCCCGGACCTCGCGCGGCCGCGCAGAGCCTCCGTGTCCAGGCGCTGGGGCAGGCAGCGAGGCTCGGGCCTGCTGCCAGCTGTAGGTGAGTCGCACAGCCACGACTCTGCCCGCTGCTTGGCGAGGTGGAGGGGCCGGCGGAGGCGCGCTGATCCCGGGCCCGGGCTGGCGCCGCCTCTGGAGTCCCGCCGTGCGGCAGGGGAGGCGGAGCGGGATTTCCCGGGCCGCGGGGAACGGGCGGAGGAGGGGCTTCCCTCACCGGCGTAGCGGTTTCCGGTTTGCCAAAACTAATGTTAAACTGTAATTATTTCTTATCTGGTGGTGCCGGGGCTTATCCTGGTTCCTGTGTTACAGGTGAAGAAACAGGGTGGTCTGAATCCAGATTTAGTATATATTAGCTGTGTGGCCTTGGGCCGGGAAAGGACTTAAAATGTCCTTCTCATCTGTGTAATGGAAACAGTGGCAGGACTTGCTTCACGGGTTGTGGGAATCTAACGGGAGTGAATGCGCTTAAAGGGCTTACACGAGGTAAGAGCTCACCAAGTGTTATTGTTCTTGCTGGTTTTGTTTTTGTTTAGTTATTGACATAAGATTTCTTTTTTTAAAAACTGAATTTATTGGGGGTGACATTGGTTCACAAAATCATAGAGATTTCAAGTGTACAGCTCAATAAAACATCATCTGCACACTGCATCCTGCGCCCATCGCCCCAAGCAAAGTCTCTTCCCGTCCCCATTTTTTTTTTTTTTTTAAATATATCTTCATTGATTTCAGAGAGAGGAAAGAAGAGGGAGAGAGAGAGAGAGAGAGAGAGAGAAACAGCAATGATGAGAGAGTCATTGATCGAGCCTGCAACCCGGGCATGTGCCCCAACCGGGAATCGAACCCCCATCGCCTGGATCCTAAGTCGATGCTCAACCGCTGAGCCACGCCCGGCCGGGCCGTCCCCATTTTTTACCCCCCTTTGTTCACCTCTCCGCTCTTGCTGCTATTGTGAGGACCAACCCAACCCCTTGTTTCTAGTGGGATGTGGCAGAGAGAGCAGTTACTGAATCTTATGATTCTGGCCCCCCATTTCACTGCATCTCACTCCAGTTCACTTCTAATTTTTTTCAGTGTCTAATGCAAGGCACTGCCAGATGCTGAGAGCAATACACAGATGCTAAAACTTGATTCTTGCCCTTAAGGAACTTATGCAATCTGGTAGGAGAGGAAGTGCAAACTACTGTAATGCAAGGTGGGATGTGGCAGTGTCATAGAAAAGTTACAGTAAAAAAGTTTGCTGGAGTTTTAAAGACAGGCATGATGTCTAATTAGAAATTTCTGCAAGGAGTAAGGGCTTTGGCGGTGGTCTGGAAGGCTGAGTGGATAAAATCAGAGGGAAATGTAGGTCAGGGACCTGAATTAAGGGAGTGGGACCCCCATGGCAGTTTCAGAAGCTGGGGTCTGGTGGGGTAGGTCATGAGGAACTGTTGATGAGAGACACTGCTTGGAATAGATCTCAATCCTAGCTGCACACGAGATGGCCTGGAGAGGTTGGTTAGCTACTGATACCTGATTTAATTGCTCAGATTATTCTAATATGCAGACAATATGGAGAAAACTAATCTAAAACCAGAAACTATAAATTCATCTCTCATCCCACTTATAAATGTTTAGGAAGAAACAAAGCTTAATTATGTTAAGCTTAATTACTACATCTGGTAAAATTGTTTACAATTAAATAAAGTAATTTGAAAGGACCTAATGCAGTACATAATAGTTACTCAATAAATGTAAATTAATTCTGAATTTAATTTTTAGCTTATTTGGGAGTCATACATCTGAGAATTTGGTTTTCATATTTTTGCATATAATTTTGGGGTGTTCGTAGGAGTCTCCACAACTCGTCTGTGGACCATCCTCTTCTTCCCCCATTTCCAGCTCAGAAGTCTGGCTCTAAAAGCTTTTAGAACAGAATTTAGCCTTTCCTCTCTACCCTGAGAGGGGCCTATACATCGTTGTTCTTGGTTCCCATGTAACTTAAAGGGAAACTTGCACGATGTCGGGAGCCCTAGATTTCTTGCAAATGGAGGAAGATGTCCTCAAATTCCTTACAGCAGGAAACCACTTAGGTAGCACCAGCCTTGATTTCCAAATGGAACAGTACATCTACAAAAGGAAAAGTGGTGGCCACTACATCATAAATCTGAAGAGAACCTGGGAGAAGCTTCTGCTGCCAGCTTGTGCCAGCTTGTGCCATTGTTGCCATTGAAAACCCCACTGATGTCCTTGTATTGTCCAGGAATACTGGCCAGCGAGCTGTGCTGAAGCTTGCTGCTGCCACTGGACCCACTTCTATTTCTGGGCACTTTACTCCTGGAACCTTCACTAACCACATCCAGGCAGCCTTCTAGGATCCAAGACTTGTGGTGGTTACTGATCCCAGGGCTGACCACGTCTCTCACAGAGATGTCATGTTAACCTGCTGACAGCCACTCTGTGTAACACAGACTCTGCGCTCTGTGGACATTACCATCCCTTGCAACAAGGGAGCTCTCTCAGTGCGTCTCATGTGGTGGATGCTGGCCTGGGAAGTTCTGCGCATGCATGACACCATTCCCCATGAACACCCATGGGAGGTCATGCTTGATCTCTGCTTCTACAGAGATCTTGAAAAGGAAGAGTAGGCCACTGCTGAAAAGGCTGTGACCACGGAGGAATTTCAGGGTGAATGGACTGCTCAGCTCCCGAGTTCACTGCTCAACCTGAGATCACTGACTGGTGTGAAGGCATGCAGGTATCCTTTGCCTATTCAGCAGTTTTCTACTGAAGACTGGTCTGCAGCCCCCACTGCTCAGGCCACTGAATGGGTAGTTGTTCACTACTGAGTGGTCTTAAGCTGTTCTTCCACAAACTCGTAAACAGAATGGAAATAAGGTTGATGGAAAATAAACAGTTTCTAAAAAGAAGAAAGTTTGTCTGTGTGTGAACATGTGCTAGCACTTTTAAACATCCTGCTGTCATGCTTAAATTACCTAACGTGGAGCATCCCTGGCAGGATTAATTCATTAGCAGGTGAGAGGAAGAAATGGAAGGGGATAGGAAATGAAAGACTAGAAGCAGCAGAAGAAAAAAGGAGAAACAAAACCCCACAGAAGATGTTTGTCAAGGGATGCGGTATGCTGTCCTCTCGTGACCCTGACATTCCTCCTGAGCTCCACCCAGGGCTGAAGTCTGTAAGATAAGACCTCTCTCATGACCCTGATGGTCCTTCTCAGCTCCTCCCAGGGCTGAAGACTGTCAGATAAGACCTCTCTTTGCAGTGGACTTGCAAATGCCCCTTTAACCACAGGGCTCATTTAGGCTGTTCTAGGAGAGTAGTATGCAGATGCAGATTAGGATTGACTCTGTTTGGATGTGTTTGATTTATGTGGCAATGATGGAAATTCAGAATTAAAATTTGGAGAGGGTGCTAACACCATCTTTTGTGTTTTTTTCTGCAGATGGCAGGATTTCTATAGTATATCTAGTATGAGTTCCACATCTTGGCCTCTTACCCAACTTCAGCAGTCTCATCTCCACCATCTGGAGAATAAATGGGATATTTGCATGAATTCCAGACTGAACTGAAGTAGGCTGCAGTGTTAATATTCTTTTCTTCTGGTTGTTATTAACAGGTACTAACTGACCTCAAATGGAACATGTCACTGTGTCTTAGATAAGCGTGTAGCATAAGCAGAACCATTATCATCTGCTGGAACAAAATTATTATTTGAAAGTGGAATTATTTTAAATGAATTTGTCTAAATTTTGTAGTGTCACCTTTTATAATGTGAAAAACCATGTCCTAACTTTTTAGTTTTGTACATTTAAATTAAAAAAGTTTTTGGTTGAGGGGGAGCATATTTGCAAATGCAGTTATAGTCCCAATATTTTAATTGGCAGAATGGTAATTTTTTGTTTGATTAAATAATTTTCATTACATATTTTTTTCACATTTAAATTATATGAAATTGTGGTGCATCTTTTAGTCACTGTGATTAAAAAGCACTGATTCACGCTTTAATTGCAGCATATTTGTGTTACCTAAAATAATGGTAAATTTTAAAATTGATTTGACAAAATCTGGTATTATTTCCAAAATTTAATGTTATTTTGCTGCTTCCTCCTTTATCTAACTCTCTTATATAGTATCTGTGCCTATCACATTCTCTAGAACAGGGTGTTCTGAACTGGGAGTAGTTTTGCCCCCTGGGGACATTTGGCTATGTCAAGATATTTTTGATTGTTACAACTCTTCAAGGAAAGGGATGCTGTTGGCATCTAGTGGGTTGAAGCCAGGGATGCTGTTACACATCCTATGTGCACAGGACAGCCTCCCACAACCAAGAATTATTTATTCCGAAATATCAGTAGTGCTGAGGTTGAGAAAACCTGCCCTAGAGATTCCTACGGATTTTAAAAATTCATTTATTTTTTAAAAGTTTATCAAATATACTTTGACTCCTTTTGTGGGTAAAGCACGTTGCTAGGTTTAGTGGACAAGTAAAAGTAATTTGTGATTTGTCCTTTCAAAAACTTTTATTTAATTATGCTTTTTCCCCCCAAATCAGTCATACTAACTGATAAAGTCAGCAGTTAGAAGCACCACTGTTATTCTTTTTGAAAAAAAGACTGTTACTATTGCAAAGCTACTAGAATATTAGACATGCCTGTCATTTTTTAGTCTACCAGAATAATGAGAATATTGAATAATCCTTTGCACTTGTTTGTGAGGAACTTTGTTGTTGTTGTTGCCACTAGACTTTCCCATCTCAGCCTTTTCTATTCTTAACTGATTTGAATGATTGTCTTCAGCTCCTCAGAAAATTAAATGTCGTCAGAAGACCGAGAAGCTCAGGAGGATGAATTGCTGGCCCTGGCGAGTATTTATGATGGAGATGAATTTAGAAAAGCAGAGTCTGTCCAAGGTGGAGAAACCAGAATCTATTTGGACTTGCCACAAAATTTCAAGATATTTGTGAGCGGTTAGTTAATAATGTTCTCTTCGATTTTTCTAAATAAAGGTTATTCTCAATTTCTTAGTGAAACCTGAATTTTTTTTTCCCGATTACAGTTTACATTCAGTATTATTCTGTATTAGTTTCAGGTGTACAGCTAAGTGGTTAGAAAATCATGTACTTTACAGAGTGGTCCCCCAACGCTTCAAGTACCCACTTGGCCTGGTGCATATATTTCCTATGTTGTAATCCCCATCTCTGTAACTGTTCTGGAACTACCAATTTATACTGCTTAATCCCTTCATCTTTTTCACCCAGCCCTCCTCCCTCTCTCCCCTCTGACAGCTTTCAGTCTGTCTGTGTGTCTGTGAGTCTGAAACCTAATTTATCACCTTATGCTTCTAGATATTGGCGATAGATGGTATTATTACAATTTAATGCATATTTCTGTTTTAAGTGAAAATTGAACTGGGAGGTAAACAGTTTTCAGTTTGATTCCACTTTTTGACCATTGAATTTGGGATATTATCCTGCATATTCCATGTATCCTAACCTTCTAACTAGAAGTTTATCAGCCATGAGCCATTGGCTATTAAATAGGGATAAGAAAAGAGGAGATGAAATAATGTATGTGAAAACACTTGGAAGCTTTAAAGTACTATGGTGTTTGTTAATATTATTTGGTTTCCAGAATCATTTAAACTACCATAAACATTTGACATATGCTATTACTCTGTGACCCTTTGCTTCAGAAAAAACAAACAAAAAAGTGCTTTATTTGATACAAACATTTACGGAAGACTTTGATGCACACTTTCTCAAATGTTTCTACTATTAAGGCACTGAGAAAAGAAAGTGTGATAATTTAAAACGAAACTTTGATTGTGAGGATGTTGTGTACTGTACCTTGTCCTCAAGCCTGAGATCATTGTGTTGGCACAAATTGTCTCATCTATGATTCATGGGTAGTTGACACATGCTGGTCTAAGTAGGTCATGGCTCTTTGATAGAAATAAACATTCTTTTCTCTAGATTGTGTTTTTAATCATCTGTAAAACAACAACAAAAGAAAACATTGTGTATCACTTGCTCATTAGTGTTAGGAATTGTACTCAAAAGTGTATACAAGAATAACTTGTGTATCTTCATGATAAATTTCATGGTGCTTAGTAGATTTTTCAAGGGCTTACAAGATTTTTTTTAAAGGTGGTGGCTACGAAGTTAAAATTAGGAAATAGAAAGTGCTTTGGGGGAGGGTTTTTATCCCCTTAACAAAAGCATTAAGTCTTTCTTGAGCATTGCTCAACAGTAATGGACACTCAAGTGTTGACCAACTGATCCTGTCTAATTTTTGTTTTTGGTTCAGGCAATTCAAATGAGTGTCTCCAGAATAGAGGCTTTGAATACACCATTTGCTTTCTGCCTCCACTTGTGCTGCACTTTGAGCTGCCACCAGATTATCCATCCTCTGCCCCACCTTCATTCACACTTAGTGGCAAATGGCTGTCACCAACTCAGGTTAGACCCAAGACTTAATTTCTCCTATCCATTTTTAGAATCTTAAAAATTCATCTTTAATTGAAGACTACCTTGATCTTGATTGACTTCAGTGCATGAAGAACAGATGGTTTTGATTTTGTAATTTTCCCCCTTGCATTCATGAATCCTAATGTTAATGAGTTGAAAATGTTTGGTGTTTTAGAAAGGAATGGCAGTAATTAAAATGATTAATCACTATGAGTTGCAGTGGGAGTAATTTCTAATCAAGTCTATTGTTTCTTGTTTTGCTATTTTCCCATTTAATCTGTATTGTGATGAAACTATAAGGTCCTCCTCATTTTCCTTAGATGTTAGAATTACTCTTTTTTTCTTAGTTTCTAATCCATTCCTTAAAGAAAGACTTAACTGTAATTAGAAGGACTACACTGATCTAATGTAGTGAGAATAAACAAATGTCCTAAGTAAACATAAGAGGTGCTTTTATTTTTGAAGATCTTTATAATAAGAACAAGTAATTGTTGACTGGTCTCTCACTGAGATATAGTTACACACAAATAGAAATGTGTGTGATTCCTATAGCTAGCTCATGAAGGCTCGAGACCTTATGAACCGTTATTTCTTCTGGATTATATGTCCTCTTCTAGCAACAACCTTAACTCTTTTTTTTTTTTTTTAATCCTCAGCTGGGGATATTTTTTCCATTGCTTTTAAGAGAGAGTGGAAGGGAGAGAGAGAGAGAGAAAAACATTGATGTGAGAGAGACACATAGATTGGTTTGCCTCCCTCATGCGCCGGGTCCTGGGCCAGAGATGGGGCCTGCAACCGAGGTACGTGCCTTTGGCTGGAATCGAACCCAGGACCCTTCAGTCCGTGGATCAACATTCTAACCATTGAGCCAAACCGGCCAGGGCGGACCTTAACTCCTGATTGAGACATAAATATGACTTGAAGCTAATATAGAGTGTTCTCAGTAGATAATGGATCAATAGCAGCTACTTTTCTAGAAGTCATGATGAAGATTGATAGGTTGATATATAATAAGACAAAAGCTGTCAGGGTTATTGATCTTAAGGAACAGCTTGTCAGTTTTTCCTTTTTGATCATGAGTTTTATCAATCCCCCACTTCCCCATGCCGCAACAGTCTAATCTTTAGATGAGAATGCTTTTATAAAATTGAGCTCACAATTGAGGTTTAAAAACAAAATTAAACTGAAAAAAAAAAAGATAATACACATAGAATAAAAAGGAATATTACCTTATATTCTAATAGCTGTGCCAGAGGCAATACATGCTATACAGTGGATTATTTGCCCACTTCCCAGTATTAAAGCATATTGGACATTTAGATCACTGATAGTTGACTACATTATTTAGATATTTATAGTCCCATTTCTCAAGAGAGCTCTTGATAAATGCATATGCGCACACACAAACACACAGAGTACAACACGAGGATAGATTAATAGGGCGTGTGGCTGTAGTTTCAGATTCCATCCTAATAGAACCTACTTAATGCTGGGTTTGGAGGGTGTGGGGAGAGGAGAGGTGTTACTTTATGACGTAGCTAAAATTACAGTAAGATTTTCTATCAAATAAAAATTTTGTGTATATAATGATATTTAACTGGTCTCTTATGCTCCCTCTTGGTTTAGTTGTTGTTTGTTGCTGGGCCCTAACTCCTTGGCATTGTGAATTTCACCTGTTGATAGTGAAGTTGGCACGTGGACCGGTCTTTCACTGAATTGGGCTTGGTAAACAGAAGGGAAGTAGGTTTAGTTTCCTGGTATTTTCCATTATTCCTCCCCAGTTTATATACATGCACAGTCTCTCTCGTTTTCTTTTCCCTTTCTGCCTGCCCCTTTCTCACATTCATGTACATCCCAGATCCCTCTTTGAGAAGGGGCTGGGGAGGAAGAGGAGGGAGGTGAATGGCTTCTTCACTGGATTTGGTGGCTCAAGTAGAACTCTAAGCTTCCCTTTTAGTGTTTATTCCATTTTGTAGCTTTTAGCAGGTTTCTAAAAAGTGTGGTTGATCTTACAAGCATATTCACGTAAATGTGGAAGAGCATTAGTGGTTTAAGTTCATGCCTGTGTAGGGCTGAGTGAGCAGCAAGGAACAGAAGATGTGGTCCTTGTTCACTTGTTACTTAAATCTACAAACTTGGTTTGCATCTGGAAGGCCTTTTTTTTTTTTTTTTTTTATGTTTACCTAAAAAGAAAAGCTGCTTGTAAGTCCTGAGCTCTACTTACAAATACTTCACATTTCTAATGGAAAGTCCTCTTATATTTGTCATTTAAATAGAACAGACTGGTTTTAAGGTAGGAAAGTTGAAATAGTTTAAACTTTGGTTGCTTAGCTTAGAAAGTTTGAACTTTTCCTATAGCAGCCAACTCACGTTGCAGGTTTGTAATCATGTCCAGGCTCAATATTGGTCTGCCTGCTGCATTAACCAGGATCTGGTATAAGCCCAGATTACTCAGTTAAAACCAGCTTGTAAATCTGAATAACAGGACTCTGAGGTTGGATCCTGTTACTGATTCTTTTCACATGAATTCACTTTTTGATAGGGCTGAAAGAATTAATTTTAAAACCTTTAAACTGTTTTCTTTCTAACCGTTATTGCAGGGTACTTACAGGGCCAGGACTCCACAGGAATAGAAACAGCTCATTTTATAACTGGATCTCTTTCTCCTACATGAGTTATATAGCAGTAACACAAGAACAGTTAAAGAACAGAGAAAGTCCTCCATTCAGCGGTGCATATGTAAACCTAGTTCTCCGTGTTGTGAGGTCATACCATCTCTCTTGTTTTCATGCTACTTCCTCTAGCTTCTGACTTTGTTTTCTACTGTGGCTCATGGTTGCTGAGTAGTTTAATAAGTGCTCCGATGAGAGTATTAGTGCTGTTTTGCAGCACAGATTATCACAGCAGTAAAATGAAATCATTTTAGGAAGTGTGAGAGCCGAAGTTAAAGATTTCAAGGGAAATCAGGAGTTGAAGGCATCTTGGTCTTTCCAAACTCACCAGCATCCTCGTGTTTTCTCCTAGCTGTCTGCTCTCTGCAAGCACTTAGACAACTTGTGGGAAGAACACCGTGGCAACGTGGTCCTGTTTGCCTGGATGCAGTTTCTTAAGGAAGAGACCCTGGGGTACCTGAACATTGTCTCTCCTTTTGAGCTCAAGATCGGTTCTCAGAAAAAAGTGCAGAGAAGGACGGCTCAAGCCTCTGTCAACACAGAGCTAGATTTTGGAGGAGCTGCTGGATCTGATGTAGACCAAGAGGAAGTTGTGGATGAGAGAGCTGTGCAGGATGTGGAATCATTGTCAAGTCTGATCCAGGAAATCTTGGACTTTGATCAAGCTCAGCAGATAAAATGCTTTAATAGTAAATTGTTCCTGTGCAATATCTGTTTCTGTGAGAAGCTGGGTAGTGAATGCATGCACTTCTTGGAATGCAGGCATGTGTACTGCAAAGCCTGTCTGAAGGACTACTTTGAAATCCAGATCAAAGATGGCCAAGTTCAACGCCTCAACTGCCCAGAACCCAAGTGCCCTTCGGTGGCCACTCCTGGTCAGGTAACTCTTTACTGACAGCTGCATCCTAATTTTCTTTCACAAAGGGAGACATTTCAGGAATTTCCTTACTAGAGCTCAGGAGGGCATTCTCACGTTGTGGAGCCAGCCCACAAGTTGTTTCACTGTATCAATCAAGAATGCTATGGTCTTACTTTACCATTTAAGCATACATAAATGCTTCCTTTGCTGGCCTCAGAATGGGCAATTCTTGGCAGGGGTGAATGTTGAAAAGGTACAAAGTAATTCTGGTGACTTTGTATATTTACTAGGATGCCATAGACCTTGGAGAATCACTAGCTGCCTTTGGGTGAGGTTGGGATCTGAAAGGGATATCTCTTGGAATAGTTAACTGAATCATTTACAGACTTTAACATAAGGACAGCCTGGTTGGTGTGATTTATTTATTTTTTAATCACATTTATTAAGGCATAAATGTACCTACTTAAAGTGTACAGTTTGCTTAGTTTCTTTTTTTTTTTTTTTTTGGCCTAGTTTCTCTTTTTAATTAAATTTTATTTTTAGAGAGCAAGGAAGGGAGAGAGAGAAACATCGATTTGTTGTCCCACTTATTTATGCATTTATTTGTTGATTCTTGTATGTCCCCTAACCGGGGATTGAACCTGCAACCTTGGCGTATCAGGATGGTGCTCTAACCAACTGAGCTACCCAGCCAAGGCCAGTTTACTTAGTTTTGGCAAATGTGTAGGTCCATGTAACCACCATCCCAGTCAGGATACAGACTTGCCATACTTAGTTTGATCTTGAAGTGAGAGTGGTTTAATTTATGTGCATCTGATTTGCACCAGCAGCCTAAGAATATCCTCAGGATCAGAACTGGTTGGAAAATTACCAGACCTATGTGTTTTTAAATATTTTCCTCCAGGTCAAAGAGCTAGTAGCAGCAGAGTTATTTGCGCGTTATGATCGGCTTCTTCTCCAGTCCACCTTGGACCTGATGGCAGATGTGGTATATTGTCCCCGCCCATGCTGCCAGTTGCCTGTGATGCAGGAGCCTGGCTGCACCATGGGCATCTGCTCCAGCTGCAATTTTGCCTTCTGTACCTTGTGCAGATTGACCTACCATGGCGTCTCTCCGTGTAAGCTCACTGCAGGTAAGTTGTAACTGTGTGAACTCAGTTCCCCTGTCCCCGATCCCCCCACTAAAAAAACCTTAAACTTATCACTTCAATTTTTCATTTGGAAATGTTCATTCAACAGATGTTTTTCTGTTAGTTACTGTCCTAGCTTCTGTGGATATAGTAGTGACCAAATGCTGTCATGGAACTTACATTCTAATGGAGGAGACGGGCAAACAACATAAATAAGAATATCAGATGGTAGTAAGTGCTAAGGAGGAAAAAAATAAATCGAACAGGATATAAAATGTTCTGAAGAGGAAGGAGCTTGGGATTTTACTTTGGGAAGCCAGGGGAAGCCTCACTGGCAGAGTGATTTGAGTAAAGACTTGAAGGAATTAAGGGAACAAGTCATGCAGATATCAGAGGAGAACAGTCTCGGGAAGCAATGACAAGGTAATTTTTATCTGTGAACATGAAATAGCATTAATCCTGGCTGGCAGATGCATAGCTGTCACTCTTGTTTCCATGGCACATATGTCTGATCATTCATCAAGTGCTTTCTCATTGATCTCAGGGAGGCCTCAGAACCTTCCTCAACACAGCACTTCAGAAAGCCACCCTCTGTTGAAGTAGGCACAGGGTGTGGAACCTGTTTGCCATTCCTGATCTAGATAAGAATTGAGAAACCAGGCCCTTGACAGCGGTTTAACTGTACTCTGGTGACTTAGTTTTTCTCAAACTAAAAGGCATGATGATAATAGCCACTCTTAGGGTTGCTGTAAGGAAGAGATGCTCTGTTGTAGTGCTGCTCAGAGTTGTTATACTGGCCTGTGGGAAGGTAAATAGAGAAATTGAGAGTTAGGATTCGAAACTTCTATAGCAGTGTCACAGTAATTTTCCTCAGTCAAGTCTAATAAAAATTAAGGCTTATATTTTTTGTCTTTTTACTTTTATTTTTCTAATAATTCATTTGATTATACTTTCAAAAGTATTGGTCAGAGGTGGGGAGAAAAACTAGTCTTCACCATAGATAATTTGAGAACAGTGGGCTAATACACGTGAGATGCAGAATGGTAACTGTTAAAGCCATTGTTGTTTAGGTACTAGTTGGTACTGTTAGCGTTGTTATCTCCAAGCAAGTACCCGGGAGGAGGATGAGTAGATTCTTCCAGGCCCTAGAGCATAGTCTTTTAGTGGGTCCGGGCAGATGGGACGGAACACTCACCACAGTGGGATTATAAGCCATTTCTTAGATTTCTGTAACCTTAGCATTGAGAGGCTAAAGTACATTTCACATGTTTCACAGCATTTGAGGAAGAAATCGAAGGTAGGCTTGGGGGCTTGAGCAAAATTTGGCATGTCATTCTCTCTATCATATTTATATACATGCTAGATATTACCACATAAAGTATATGAAACACTAGCAAGTTTATTATTTTGAGAACATTAGAGCAATAATCTTTGTCCTTAAGATGTCTAGGAACACAAAACTGTTTCTAATTATTAGAGGCATAAAAATGACAGGATAAAAAGATACATGTTTCCTACACCTAAGCAGAGGTGATGGAGCGTGGGAATGCACAGTGCAGAGGCAGGGTTCACAGGTGAAGGAAGAGTGCGGTAGCATTCTGTACCAGAAGATGGCCACTGCATAAAAGGGCGATGGTGCTCTAAATATGAGGAAAGTAAACTAATAAATAACTACAACGTTGTTGAGAATCTTTAATTGGTCCCTGTGTTGGAAAATTAAGATAATAGGATTGTAACTAAAGCCTTCGTCTATGAGTAAAGCCTTTAGGAATGGCTATTTGTTTAAGAGATAAAACAACAGAAACCAGGTTGAAGAATGTCAAGGGGGAAAGTTGGCAGGAGGGACTTTTTCAGTAGCTGTGGGTGGCAGATTTTATTCACTGACTTATTTTTAAGATACCGACAGTTAGTCTTTGCTCTTAAGTCAAAGGCACTTTTGTTTATTTGGTAGGCCTTGTTATTATCAAGTGGTGAATGATGCTGACTTAGTGGAAAATCAGTGTCTGTTTCAACCTCTGCGTTTTTTAGATAAGTCAGTCTTTATGAGACTGACGCCCTAACTACTGCGCTAACGAGGCACCTAGATAAGTCAGTCGTTAACTGTATACTACTAGTTGCACAAATATATCAACGTTAATACATTAAAAATCAAAGGAAAAAGATAACCTATTATTCTACCACCTTTAGCAAGTCCAACTTTTCTAGTTGGAGGATTCCTTTTTGTTCTTTGTCATTTGTGCATGTCTAACATTTACCTAGTTATAACCTAAATATGCTTTTTTCTGGATTCTATAATGAGCATTTTAATTGAGCTGTAGCTATCCTAATGATAAGTTTTTAATAACTGAATATTATGTCATAAATGGCTCTTTCACACATAATTATTCCCTTGGACATTTAATTTGTTTGTCATTGTTATGAGCACTTCTATGCATATAACTTTACTTTGGATTATTTCCGTATGATAAAGTCCCAGGGATAGCATTATTGAGTAGTCAAAGGCTAAGGCCATTTTTAATAGTTTTTCATCAGCATTGCAAAGTTGTATAAAAGTTAATTTTCCATTTCACTTTCTAGAGAAATTAATAGACTTACAGAATGAGTACCTGCAAGCAGATGAGGCCACTAAAAGATTTATGGAACAGAGGTATGGTAAGAGGGTGATTCAGAAGGCACTGGAAGAAATGGAAAGTAAAGAGTGGCTAGAAAAGAACTCAAAGAGCTGCCCATGTTGTGGGACTCCCATAGAGGTAAACAGACTTCCAGGCATATTACTGTTGTCTCAAGAATACTATTAATTTTATGACTAATTAAGAAAACATTTTGGTACTTACTAAACCTTCTTACTGGGACAATGCAAATTCACCGAAGGGTCTTGGGTTCGATTTCCGGTCAAGGGCATGTATCTGGGTTGCAGATTCCATCCCCGGCCGGCCAGTCAGGGCTCATGCAGGAGGCAACCAAGCAATGTGTGTCTCACACATTGATGTCCTCCCCTCCTGCCCCGCCCCCTCCCACCCCCTCAAAAAAAGAAAAAAATCAATGGAAAAAATATCCTCGGGTGAGGATCAACAAAAAATATATATATATTGTTATCAACCTTGTATGTAGACGTCCCTTTTCAAAGTGCTTTCATACAGTGACAATTGTTCTCACATTATATGCCCTCTTAAAATTGAATGGGTTATGAGGAGGCCATACTAGATCCACAATAAACCCTAATTCATCTTTGTCATTAAAAAAAAGATCATGCCTGACTTCTCCTCAGAACTATTTATCCTGGAATTTAACACACCTGTTTAACAAGTATATGCTTAGGAAATGGAGACATTTTCCCATGAATCTGAGCCAAAATAGATAAATCTAATTGCCTTTTTGACAAAAATCTTAGTATGTTTTAAAATCGAATATATCTTTGTATCTGATTCTACTGTTTCAGTCCATTACAGTAATCCTCCCTTATCTATGAGTGATATGTTCCAAGACCCCCAGCAGATGCCTGAGAATAGTACTGAATACTATGTATGCTATGTAACAAAATAGAATAATTATAATTATATACTATAATAAAAGTTATGTGAATGTGGTCTCTTTCCATCAAAATATACTGTACTCACTCTTCTTAAAATGATGTGAGATGATACAAAATGAGGTGACTTGACTAATATAGGCATTGTGGCATAGCGTTAGGCCATTATAGGAGTTACTTGAATACAAGTGCCGTGATATGAAAACAGGCTTATGGGAAGGGAAGATTCACGCCCTTGTTGGGGCGGCGCAAGATTTCATTTCTCTACTCAGAATGGTGCACAATTTAAAGCTTATGAATTGTTTATTTCTGGAATTTTTCATATAATGCAGGGTGAGGCAAAAAGAGGTTTTATTTACAGTTGTTTATATGGAAAATAATACAATAATTAATAAATAATACAAGGATAAACTGTGTTTTATGTACTCACAACTGTAAACCTACTTTTGCCCCACCCTGTATTTTTGGACCATGGTTGACCGTGGGTAACAAAACTGCAGATAAGGGGGAACTCCTGTATATCTGAGCCGAACCTGGTGGTTTTTCCCTTATTATTCCATTAAGGAAACTGACATTCTGCCTAACCAATTTAACTACTTCTGACATGCCTCAGCCCTATGATAGAGTGGAGAACTTGATACCAAATGTTTTCTTAGATTTATGTAAAAAGTTTAAAATCATACATGTTAAATCCAAACACTTTAATATTAATCCAACTACATGTTCCACATACAGTATAGTACATATTTGGTTTGTATCCTGAGTTTATCAAAAGAGAACTTGCTAAGCATCTAGTTGTAGGAATACCTGCTAAATATTTCCTGTTTCACTTGTAATGCAAAAGAGTAGGCGGTAAATAGCTATCACTGTGTTACCGCATAGTTCAGCCCAGTTTGAGAGAAGGGACTAGGAGCATGCTGTCCTGAATCTTTTTGGCATGTGCATTTCTCTTTTGCTTTTACAGCCGTGATATTTTTCTCTTTGTGTCTTTCTCACCAGAAATTAGATGGCTGTAACAAGATGACATGTACGGGCTGTATGCAGTACTTCTGCTGGATTTGCATGGGCTCTCTCTCTAGAGCAAACCCTTATAAACATTTCACTGATCCAGCTTCCCCGTGTTTTAACCGGTACGTACACCCAGAATTCCCTGGGCTCAGCAGCAGTTTTTGGTACTTGATTTGCAGACCACAGATCCAGTGTTTGACTTACTAGAGAATTATCTTACACATTTTCCCACATATCTGAATTTTCATATAATTTTCTTGAAAATGAGTTGTATGATGAAAATACACTATCTGGAAATTTCCCCTTTTTTATCTTTCTCAACTTTTTATAGTGAAAATTTTCTTTTCTTTTCTTTTCTTTTTTTAAATATATCTTTATTGATTTCAGAGAGAGGAAGGGAGAGGGAGAGAGAGATAGAAACATCAATGATGAGAGAGTCATTGATCGGCTGCCTCCTGCACACCCCCAGCTGGGGATGGAGCCCGCAACCTGGGCATGTGCCCTGACCTGGATCTCTGGGATCCTAGGTCGATGCTCAACCGCTGAGGCACACCTGGCTGGGCTATAGTGAAAAATTTCAAACAGAAAAGTTGAGCCCTAGCCAGTTTGCTCAGGGGTTAGATCAGTGACTTGCAGAATGAAGGGTCTCGGGTTCGATTCCAGTTAGGGACACATACCTTGGTTGCAGGCTCGATCACCGGCCCAGGTTGGGGCTCGACCCAGAGGCAACCAATCAATGTTTCTCTCTCTCCCCTCCACTCTGTTTAAAAAAATCAATGGCAAAAATATCCTCGGGTAAGGATTGAAGGGAAAAAAAAATATATATATATATATATATATATATTTTATTCAAGCACAGCTGCAGGCCTGATCCCCGGTAGGGGGTGTGCGGGAGGCAACTGGTTGATGTTTCGCTCTCACATCGATGTTTCTCTTTCTCCCTCTCTCTAAAAAAAGTTTAATGACAATTTCATATTATCATCTAATAAACATTTAAAACCTCCCCGTTATCCCTAAAGATATCTTTTAAAGTTGTTTTATTGGATCTAATCGAGTTCATTTTATTTACTTCTGTCTCTTTAGTCTCTTAATGTAAAAAGTTTTGCCCACCTTTTTTTTGTATGTGTTGAGGGATACATTGACTTTTTGAAAAGTCCAGACCAGTTGTCCTATATAACATCTTACCTTCTAGAATTTTGTTTCCCCATGGTGTCTTTTAACTCCTCTATTCTCTATGTTCTATAAACTGAAAGCTAGATCTAGACTGAAGTTGGACTAGATTTACACTAACATTTTTTACAAGAACACTTCTAAGTGATCTGTGGGGATTCCTTGGCACAATGTGAATATCCTGTTCTCCACCAGCTCCAAATTCAGCATCAGTTGATCAGATGATCTTTATTAATAGGCATCTGTATAGCACTTATTGTCATTGGTGCTATCAGGCTATAAAGGAAATTAAAGAAACAAGCTCTGCTCCTGAACTATTGGAACTCTGGTGTTGAAAATTGCTTAAGTTTTAGGTAACATAAGGGAAGAAAGACAAGTTGGCAACTATAAAACATTCTACAAATGGAGACTGCAGGGACAAGGAAGATAGAGAAAATGGAGTGATTAGCATAAAATAGAGTTATAGTGTCCTGAAAGAGTTCAACTGCTTCTAGATTGCTTGACTTCCCCAACCTTGGCATATTCGACATATTGTATACACTGAGTGTCAGTTTTGTGATACCCATCTTCCGTTATTTATCTTGTCCCTAGAGAGTTTGTCTGGATCCTAAAAGGGCTAGTCTAGTAGTCTTTAAGGCAGCTTGTTCAGAGGGACCCATATTTCAGTTCTCATCAGTGGAAGATTAAAGAAGAGGAAAAGATAAAGATGTTATCAGAAAAGTACAGAAAGTGTTTTTGAGCCCTGACTGTTTTGGCTCAGTGGTTAGAGCATCACTCCTCGGACTGAAGCATCCTGGGTTCAATTTCAGCCAAAAGCACACACCTCGGTTGCAGGCTCAGTCCCCGGCCTCGGTTAGGGCTCAAACCAGAGGCGACCATTCAGTGTGTCTGTCTCACATCCATGTCTCCTCCCACATACTCTCTGAAAAGCAATGGAAAAAATATTCTTGGTTGAGGATTAAAAACAAAAAAAAGAAAGTATTTTTGGGAGAAGGAATGGAATTATAGTTTCTTCCAAGTTTATAACATTGTACCTTATATGCTTCCAGGTTGTTCCATGCTGTGGATGTTAATGGAGATATTTGGGAAGATCAGATTGAAGACTAGTTAATGCCTACTGCTCAAGATGTGGAAGTGAAGTGGTTTACCCTGATCTTTTGTTGAGTTAAAAAGTAACTTTGCAGGATATTTAGGGTTACTATCCATTCAATCTTCCAGTGTAGAAGATAAGGAAGAGCCAGGTTTATATTTTCATGTGGCACTACTGACTTAAGGCATGTTCATAGATTTTTCAGTGTAACATAATTGAGGAAACTGTAAACCAAAGGTTCAGAAAATGAAAACTAGAGAGTATTAAATATTATGTTCCCAAAGCTCTGAATAATTAAAAATTTAAATATTTATTTTCTTCCCCAAGCTTTAGGTAAGGAGAGGGGTCAAGAGTTCAACTTCTCAACCTTTTTATCTCTGAGAAGCATCCCTCTAAGACATTCTATGGGAGTCCCCTCAATACGACTCCTTACAACCAACCGGTGGTTAGAAGCCTTATTACAGTTGTACCAAGAGCCTGATCTCACTTACTCCATGTTACATTCCTTCCAACCTAAATTTCTGCTAAGTTCTTTTTGGAGGGAGCCCTTTATAACTGAATGGATGGCCCAGTGTCATTTTGGTCTACTGCTTTTCAGAATAAAAATTTAGAATTTTAAGAATATTTTTTAATGCCATAAACAATGTGGATCACCTGATATTTGTCAGCGGCACATAGTTCACTGGTTTTGAGCCAGATCTGTTATTTAATGACAGTGGCTCAGAAAAACTTCAGCCCTGTTCAGCTGTCCTGAGCAGTAGAGCCTAGATTCAAAACAATGCCTTTCATCCTGCATTCTCTCCCTTTACCCTCACCCAGCCTTCTGTTGGTAAGGACAATTTTAATATCAACTCCATCAGCTCCTAGTTTTATTTCCTCTGCTGGAATAGGAGAAAGCCTAATATATTCCCAGGCTGAACAAGCTAAGCTTTCTTTAATTATGTGCTTTTTGAACTCCACACTACTCTAGTTCAATCCTCACTTTCTAAGTTCTTTTTATAGTTCTTCTCTAATGTGCTTTGGGAATTTGGTTTCCCACCTTTTTTGCAACAGCACTGTTTTGGGGATTTTGGCTTGCTTAGATCCCTATTTCTGGGTTTATTGGCTTTTTGAAAAATTGTCTTTCCTTTTGGTTTAGTGAGTGGTTTGGTAGCAAAATAAGATTTTTTTGAAAAAGGGCATATTTCAGCTGCAGCTGTGAAAATGTTTTTTTCTTCCTACCTTGTCACTGAAAATTGGGGAATCACTTTTAATTATTTTATTTGTGTGTATCCAAAGAGTCAGCAGTGACTGTTTCTGAACTGTCAATGAGGATGCTTAATCTTAAAAATAAAAATAATTTAAAAATTGTCTTATAATTAGAGCAGAGTTGCTGATATGTCTTTTGTCACCAAGGGCTTGTAGTCTTATTTTTGAATAATGTCCTAGAAATAAATGATCTTGTTAAAGGTTGGTATATCAAGAAAGTACATGAACAGAGAGTGTTGTACCTAACTTAATTTCATGAAGGCCAATTTTACAAGTGGACTGAGATTTTCCATAAATTGACATGAACCTCATGGGTCCTTTTGGTGAGAGAATTCCCTTTGCAGATTGCCAGTTCATCCTGCCCAAAACTAGTTTGAAGAGGCTGTGCTCTCTTGATTTTATGTAAAAGGTTTGGATCTAGAACTGGTAGATGAAAATAAGTTACTAAATGACTTTTTAAGTCAAAATAGAGATTTTGTGACATTTTAAGCTTGTGATTGAACTAACAGGCCTGCCTTTGTGAACTGAGAGCCATCTTGTCCCATTTATTTATTTATTTTTGTTGTTGTTTTATCTTTATTGTTGAGAGTATTACAGGTGTCCCATTTTTTCCCCCCAATCGACCCCCTCCTCTTCGCTCCCACCCCCTCCCCAGGCCTTCACCCCATTATTAACTGTGTCCATGGGTTAAACATATATGCATATAACTTCTTTGGTTAATCTCTTCCCACCCTCCACCCCCCTTCTCTCTTTACTCAGAAATATGATCGTCTGTTGCATGCGTCAATGTCTCTGGATCTATTTAGTTTGTCAGATTCTTATGTTCATTAGCTTCTTCTTAAAGAAGACCCTTCAACTTTTCCTGTAGTGCTGGTCTGGTGGTGATGAACTCCTTTAGCCGTTTCTTATCTGTGAAGCACTTTATTTGACCTTCAATTCTAAATGATAGCTTTGCTGGGTAAAGCAATCTTGGTTGTAGTTCCATGTTTTTCATCACTTTGAATATTTCTTGCCACTCCCTTCTGGCTTGCAAAGTTTCTGTTGAGAAATCAGCTGACAGTCCTATGGGTGCTCCCTTGTAGGTAACTAACTGCTTTTCTCTTGCTGCTTTTAAGATTCTGTCTTTGTCTTTAACCTTTGGCATTTTAATTATGATGTGTCTTGCTGTGGGCCTCTTTGGGTTCCTCTTGTTTGGGACCCTCTGTGCTTCCTGGACTTGTAAGT